GTATTTTCTTTTCTGATAGGAAAAACACTAAAGTCTCATTTCACTAGATACAATCATGAGTCTATTCCTAAATTCAAAAGCACTCTGTAAAAGCCCAAAAAGAAAGCTGCAGAGCTAACAGTTCCCTAGAAAACAGTCTTTAACATACAGCATCTTCACCACTAAGACATTTGCAAAGAAACATTTACATCATTTCAGACATCGACAGTAGGACAGGTGACCTCCAGCTGCTTCTAGAAGAGTTTACATTCATTTCTCAGAGGTGAACTTATACCTCTTTGTCTCCTCTGGACCTCCTTAAGCAGCTGTAATTCCAGGGCAAACAAAGTAGCCTATGTTTTTCCAACTTACCAGCAAACATTCAATTGCAAAAAAAAGATTCACAGATGAGTTATGCTAAATGATTGGTACTGTGACCTGTGATGTAACACAAAAGAATGGTTGTTGTTGCCTAAATGTTAATGGAGTTAATCCTTCCAAATGCTGACAAATTACTGCCTCGGGCCATTTAAAATCACATTTCTAATGCAATAATCCTATCTGCATTGCAATGAGTTGGGATGAAATGATTAGGTGCCTGAGATTTTTGCACAGTGAATTAAGTCACCATACAGCCTAGCTGTGCTTGTTCACAAATGAAAGGCCTGAACAGAACTGAAATTCCGTTATTCTGCCACTTGCTCAGCTTTGAGGAAGGGTTCATTACTGTCCAGTCTACTGAGATTGCTTCTGAAGCAGCTATGAGCTAGCAAGAACCATTAGTAATTAGGCCAGCTTCAGGGCTTTCTTCATTACTAATAATTATTGGTCAAACCTTTGACTACCAAACAGCCCTTAAACAGAAAAGACTAATTCAACAGCACGCATTCAAGAAAACATGAGATAGAGTTTCAGTAAAATGTGGGGAAAAAAGGACCAACCTGCATCCCTCAACACAATTTCTCCCCCATTCACAGCCAGACTGCTAATCCAGAGTTCAGCCACTCCTAACACTCCAAAGCATAGGCTTTTTAGCTAGGAGAGGGTCCAGAATACATCACCTAACAACATCAACCTAGCACTTACATTAGTATCCTTACTTTTGGAACTCATCACAGCACACCAAAGCAGATATTCACATCTACACAACCAAATTACCTCTTGCTTTAAAGGCTGCATCTGTGATTTTTTTCGATCTTACACTAACAAAGCATAATCACCAGTTTGGGACTGCTCATTCTTAGTATTCAACTGATTGGTTACACATGATATAATTTGATATGCATAGACATAACTATTTTTTGATCACACTTACGATCACTTCTTTGTTGGAGCCACAAGGTCAGTGTTCCAATGAAGAAAGAAGATATCACGAGTTTGAATTCAAGGCAAACAATTTTTTGCTCAAATTCTAATAAGCATAGAGTGTGATGCCATTAGTTTCCATGCTAAAACTTTGAGGGGACGCTCTTCTGAAAATATAGCTTGAGAAAAAGCTTAAGATAGCAATTTAAGACAGCTTTTATTACCATACAAAAATTTGTAACAAAAAGACTCAATGGTCATCAAACTTTCTAAGGCTCTTTCAGTTACCGACTGCAGTGTGCATCTACAACAGCTTCTTGTGTCTGTCACTCGCCATGGGCACACTTCATATGAGAATTAAATCTCGTGAAGCCCATAATACAAGCCCTTGTATGCAGATGATTGCTGCACATCAGTTGGGCACAACTGTATCACAGAAGAGGAAAAAGGAACAAGATTCCACCTTTTTTTTCCCCTTTGTGTTTCCAGCTTTTTTTTTTTTTCCCTTTATTAAGGAATGTTGCATTTTAAACAGTTAAAATAAAGAAGCACAGCTATAATCATATATTCCTCATCTTTTTGCCAATCTCTCATATTCTTCTCAAAAAAAAAAAAAAAGCCCAACAACACACCAATGTTTTCATTCTGCTGTTGTATTGGGAGAAAATGCTTCTATTTAAAACTGAAAAGCTCCACACCTGGGCACTAACAATGAGCTACTCAGCAGCAGTTTGCTACAGGTTAAGAGCTGTTTTTCCATATGAAATGAAAAGCTTCATTACATAGCTTCATGCATAAAGCATGGTCTGTTTACGCAGCACTGAAGTGTACTGTTGCACTTTGCAGACATATATACAAACTTTTAAATGATAACACACTGTAGAAAGCATCAACCTAAGTTCACATTCAGATAAACTTACTGCATACTCCAATGTTTGCTATGACAAACTCAGATGCCCTCATATTCTGCTTGTTCTGCAATACACTGTTCCCAAAATTATGTGCCATTCTAAATACAATGCAAATGTGAAACAGGTGCCACTGACGATATTTATTATGCTAATGACTCTAGGCTGTCTTCAACAACATCAAGAATTGCCATACAAATCAGCTAGATCTGGCAGACTAGAAGATGACTGATGTTAAATATTCCATTAGGAATAATAAAGATGGACACACGGAATCGATAATAATGCTGGACACCACAGTCCTGAGCTGTAAAATGCTTTGCAAGTTTGGAGGGAACAGCCTGACTCCGGAATAGGACCAGTTTCCTTTTACACTCCACTCAATGGCTGGATCAAACCCACTCCTAAAACCTATTTCTGCAGCAGAAATCAAGAACATACTTTGCTGCGTCCTGAAGAAAATGCCAGACTTAAGACAAACAGAAATAATTTTTTCCCAAGATGCATGATCATTTCCACTCCTATAAGAGGCTTTATATCCTCCATCCTCAGAGAGAAACGCCTGTGTGTTACTGTTGGCACCCACAGAGGCAGTGCACAAGCCCTGGCTGAGCTGGCAGAGCCCTCACCAACATCCCACTGTCACCTCAGATATGGTTAAGGCTCCCAAGTGCAGGCCAGCAACAACAAACTTGAATATCTGGTCCTAAAAAGTCAACGATCCTAGCCACAATATTTGTATCCTACGTTCCCTAAACTAAAGCCTCGCTGTCTTGAGCTGTGTTTGCTGAAGGCAGAATTCACAAGCCCAAAAAGTTCATAAGAGTTGTAAAGACAGAAAGGAATGTTTCTGCAAACAGACACAGCAAGGTAGCAATCAGAAGGGAGCTGCAATAAGAAAGACTGGAGAACCAGAACAGGATTGAACCTGTAAGAACTGTTAAGTATAGTGAGCAAGGGAGAGGGTCTCTGCAACCCTCAAAGATCTCCTTACTTGTGCCTCTCTCCTCCCACTAACTTTACATCTACACATCAGATAGCAACAGTTTTGTAACTAGCAACCCTACAGAACTGGAAGGTTTAGAAAGGAGGTGTCAGAAAAGGAAAAAGCATAAGGTAAGGGAGGCTGAAAATGGATTAGTACTGTTGTGAATGAAGATTGGCCCAGAAAATACCATCAGCTAAACTCTGAGCAACTCTGAGAACTCTGAGAACGTTTAACAACAGGAACAGGAGGGGAACATCTCTGGAAGGCTAAGACAGGCCATGACTATCACTAAGAGAACACTTCACAAATCTTTGTCACTGAAAAAGTATCTTGCAAGACTTACATCTCCAATCTGTTATTCTGGTGGTTCTCACATCTGAACCCATAATTTATCATCTATATCCACAGCTGGTAAGAACTGCCAAATCACACAGCTTGAAATTTTTTAAGATTTTGGTACAGAGCTGCTTTCCAGAGAACCAATTGTGTGTTAACAACCAATTAAACCATACTAACTGTTGTGGTTCCGCCTTTTCCTTTTCATGAATAATTCAGTTAAGCCAGCCCTTGAGAACCTACCTTTTGTTCAAGATGGCACCAATTCCCTGGCAAATTGCACACAAATAATGGAGAGCACAACACAACAGCAATAGCAGGGACCTTTTCTGAGCAGTCGGCTCTTTTCCACGATGCCTCCTTATCAGTAACTGCTAATGAACTCTTTGAAGTGGAAGTGTAAATATTATCGTTTGATAGTACCTGAACCAACAGGGCAAACGAAATTGCATTGTGTTACATTGTGGGAGCTGTAGACCAATTCACAATACAACACTCACCAGGTTGCTATGGAGGAGCTCACTGCTCTCTATTTTGGTAGCAAGGGGTCAGCCAAGGGCTGCTGGGGACTCTTGGAGGGCCCTTAGTCTTAATCTTTACATGCAAATCAAACAAGAAAGAAAAAAGCAAAAAAAAAAAAAAAAAAAAAAAACATGCAAAACAAAATAAAAGCAGGGAATTCCAGAGTATGCCAGCTTTTGGCCTCTGGTGAGAACCTGGTCCTTCCAGCCTCTACTAGTGATCACTTAGCTCCAAGGCCAGATTTCAGAAGTGCTTGCATGCTTTGGATTATTCAACAACAGCTCAGAGTTTTTTTCAAGATCTACTTCGATAAAAAGGAAATCTAGTGCTTCTTTGTAAGAGAACACCACCACCAAGTTGTCCTGATGTCTAACAACATCCTGGATTCAATGCAAAGGTCTGTCACAGCCTCCTGTGTGACCTTCAGGCTCATGCTGCATTTCAGTGTCTCATCTTGGAAGTGCGGAAGGGTCTCTGCCACACTTGGCCTCTCAATGGAAACACAAGGCACAGACATGAGATCGCAGTACCTGATGGCTGAAGTTGGCTGCCGAATCTCGGGCCATTTTGTAAAGTCATGCTGTAGGATCAAAGAGAGCAAAAGGGGATGGGACCACAGACTCCAGTGTGGCGTTGCCACCCTTTCCTGCTCTTCATCGGGCTCAAAAACAAGAACAAGGGAAATCACAACGCAAAGCCACCACAGCCATAAGGAAAGAGGGAGGCAAGGAGCAAGCTGAAGGTGCTGTCACAGACACCCCGGAAGCCGAGCAGCCCTCCAGAAATAGAAGCAAGAGGAAGAAATAAGAAAGAAAAACAATACCAAGAAGGAACCAGCACAAACCAACCCTAAAAACGTCAGCGGAGGCACCGGCAAAGGCGAGTACCAGCCAAAGCCGCCCCAAGCCGGCGCGGCTGCAGCACACGGCGCGCCCGGACCCCCGGCGCGGCCCCCGGCTCACCTTGCTGCTGACGGGCCCGGGGATGAGCAGCTTCAGCGCCTGCCTCTTCAGCTCCGCCAGGCGGGCGTTGCAGTGCTCGCACCAGACGCCGCGGTCGGAGCCCGGTGAGGAGCCGCCGCCGCTACCGGAACCCGGCGAGCCGGTGCCGAAGCCTGGCGAGCCGCCCAGAGAGCCTGGGGAGCTGGTGCCGATGCCGGGCGAGGCTGGCCCAGGGGAGCCCGTGAAGGAGCCCGGCGAGGAGGTGCCGGAGCCGGGGGACGGGGTGCCGGAGGAGCCGAGCGCCGAGCCGGCTCCCTCCGGGACCGGGCGACTCCCTGCGCGGGACTCCTCGTAAGCCTTGCGGTACCAGCTCTCGGGGGAGAAGGGCGCGGCGGGCTTGGTGGGCGAGCAGGGCTCGGTCACCTGCAGCGGGAGAAGGAGCAGCGGTCAGGGCAGCCCGCACCCGGACGCCCCGCAACCCGAGCGCCCCCCGCTCCTATCGCACGCACTCACCCCATATTTTCTGCTCCGCGCCGTGACCGCGACCCTGTCCTTGCTCCCGGCCACCGAATTCATGGTGGCTCCGCGGGTGGGCTCCCCCGGTCAGCAGCCGAAGGGAACCGTCGGTCCCGGCGAGCCCCCGCGCTGGGCGCTGCCGGCCGCCTCAACACTCAGCGCCGAACGCCGTCAGTCCTCGGGAGAATGCCGGGGAGCGGAGCGCCCGGCCGGCCGGCTTTCCCTCATTGTCTTCCCGCCCGGTCCCTTCCAGCCGATGCTTTCACAGAAACAGCCACATCCAGAGCGGGAGCGCTCCCTCCGGCAGCAGCCCTCCTCCGCGAGCGAAGCATCCGAGGCGGCTGCGGGGAGGTGCACGCGCGCCGTAACCTCCGCTACGACGGCAACTTGTTTCCCTCAGTCAGGTTTGGAAGTGAGTTACAAGAAATCCTCCCAAAATCTCGGCGGTCGGGCTCTGGGAGGAGCCTCCGCGCCCTCTCAGCCAATATCCTCCCGCCCGGCCGCGCCTGGCGGCCCCGCGGCCCCCCGTCTCCCGTCGGCGCGGGGCTCTGCCCGCTCCCGGGGCCGCGCCGGCTGCGGGGAGGGCCCCGCTGTTTTGCGGTGTTCCTGATTGACACCGCCGATTTTCCCCTTTTTCTTGAAGCTGGCAGGCGGGGCTGGGGGGAAACCTTGTTGCTTCCACCGCAGTTATTGGTTAGTTGCCTCCGTTCAGGGCTTTAATGGACATGACTTCACAAGGGTCCTAATCTGGAGAGGAAAGCGAGCTGCGTCTTCGATCGTCACAAGCGTCTCTTCTCCGCGTGTAATTGTACGTGTATTAATTTAAGTTTGCAATCAAGGGCATAGTAAATTGATCTCTTAACAATAACAACCCGCAGACTTGTTTTCCCGTTGATCTTTCCGTTCTAACCGCGATTTTTGCTTTCCAGCGGTGGCTTACGCGCACCTGGTTACAGCTCCTTTCTGATGTCTATCCCTGCAGATAGCACGCTCATTCCTGACAAATCCTCCTCAAATCAAATTGGCGACGTTCTCAGAAAAGGCTGCAGTAAGGAGCTGGGTGCCAGCTCCCCCGATACAGCCAAACTGCAAAGGCGAGGAGGATGCAGCTAGGAGGGCAGCACGGACAGGGGTTGCATCAACCTTCCTGCTCTCCCGTCGTTACCTCATTGTACCCCCACTGTGTCGGAGCTGTGTGGGCCACGGGGACCCAGAGCAGTCTTGGACCACTGAGACATTCCTGCCGGCAGCGCGATGCTGTGCTGTGCTTTAACTTCACCAGGCTGTTGCTCCGATAGCAGAGCAGCCATTCCTGACCAGAAAGCTTTCATTTCGGCCGACACCAGGTAGCCGGGCTGCATCAGCTGCGCCCTGTGCACCCACCTACGTGCCCAAACACCTGGCACACAAAGGCTCCCGCCGCGCACCGCTCTGCCCCGCGCTCCGTTCCGTAGGCAGACGTGACCGGGATGCCAACGCGCTGCTCGACGCGCAGAGCGGCGTGTGATGCCCCGTGGGCGCCTAACTTCTGCTTTTCCACGCTCAGCGATTCTGGCGGCGAACAGGCAGGTTGCTTTGTTTCTCAGCAGACCTGTTCCTACCAAGCAGCCGCTGTCACAGCCCGCACCTCGGCAGCAGCGCGCCCACCAGGCGCCGGTGCCCGCACTGAGGCACGGGGCAGCCGCGAGCAGACAACTTTGAGAGCGGCGGAGCCCTGCACGGGCCCGGCGTCCGCTTTCCCTCAGTCCCTGTCGGGCGGTAGCGGCTGCCGGAGGCGGGGGACACGGCACTGCGGGGCGGAGGGGTCGCTTCCCCGCAGCCCAGCGCGGGCGCTTTGGGGCTGCGGCGGGTCGGGCGGGGCTGGCGCATCCTTTTGCGGGCGGCGGGCGCCCTCTGCTGGCGGCGAGCGGCAGCGCGGCCGCGAGGAATGTTGGGCTGCCGTTGGCGGCGCGCGGCGGAGGCGGGCTCCGCCGTAGCAGCTTCCTGCTGGCTGCTATCAGCGCTCGTGGTTGTTTGAGTCAGTTACAAAGGGCTTCTATTGAAGTGTGAGAACTTCTGGGAGCAGAGATGCATCAAATTCTCTAACTGAAGACGTTTTGCTGCTAAAAGCTCTGCAGTTCTTGTTATTTTGTGCTAGCCTGAGTATCACTCCAGCAAGAAACTACCAAGCGCCCATTCTCTGAGTTAATGCCTGCTCTGGGGAGCACTGATGTGCAATGCTTTCTCCCTTTCTTTGGGCTCCCCCGTGTTGAAGTTCATGAGGTTTCCTCTTACAGCTCCTTGTGCAGTCAGGTTTTGCACCTTAGCATCAGACAGCCCAGCAGCTCAGAACAGCCATCAGAGCAAGCTCTGGTGGTGCCCAAACTTCTCTCTTCTGCTGCAGTCTCCAGTACTCGTCCCACATGGGAGCCCTCCCTTGGTACATCTGTTCTCATTCAGGCAGCTGAGCTTCAGTTAGGTGATTTAGCAGCTGTGTGATCCCAGGTGCAGGCTGATACAATGCCATTTATTTTAAAAATCCAGGAGCAGTCGCTGCAGAAGATATTGTGGTAGGTTAATGGAGAAGGACTATGCAAATAATTTTAGATTTGTTCTCCACCTAGGGGTGTTTGTTCTTGATTCTAGATGCAAAACTGAAAAAAATGTGGTTGTTCAGACATTTATAGGTAGGCAAACAGAAGCAAAAGCCCTGGATATATTCATTGCTTGAGAGGTACAGACAAAAGCCAGTTTCAAAGCACTGAGTATGGATTCTGATCTCAAGCTATACATTACAAGCTCTAATAATAACCTGTTTTTCAGCTAGTATGCAAATTTCTGGTTTCTCCATCATACAGCAACATTTGCTGTGTTGTGCTACAACTGCTGCTTTTCTTTGGACTTTGCCTGCATATATCACGCAACTGAACGTAACCCGTTCAGCTTCATCACTCGAATCTGAGGTTCTGGCACAAGCCCAGTTCTATCAATAAACAGCAGTTTATGAGAGCTGGAAATGTTGGTTGCATCAAATAAATTCTTTGAGATACTCACATTTATAATAAATCTCAGGATTCAAAAGGTGACAGCAACTGTAACTTGAAGAGTCATCACCGCCTGCCCAGAAAATTTGTTTCCAAGTTTGGTGCTAATAAGTCTCAGTATCAGGTCTTATTTAAAATTTTAAACAGCTTCCTTGGGGAGATTTGAAATGCATGACATCTCTGATACTTGTTTAAAGAAGAATATTAATGACTTGGAGGCCATTGGGGGACAGAGGGAATTGAAGGCATTTGTAGTAATAGTGAGAAAGAATCAATAGACATAGCTAACTACTGAGGTCCACAAACAAAACCACCAGGACTTCTCAAGTTTAATGCATTTATTTTCTAAAATCTTTCCAGTTCTTGTTTCCATTTCCTTGTCAAACTATCGGATCATTTCAGTGAAAAGCTCTGCTAAGAACATTTTGAATCCTTTATCTTTTCTTACAGCAGTAGCACATATCCACAGCTTATGTATTCTGCAGGATTTAAGGATTCGTGCAGTACGGGAGGATGTCAGACATAGGGACTGCAGCTGTAATTCTGATGTTGTGCGTAATGCTCTTTTATATGCTCCTGGGATATGTTAGACTGCTGGAGAGTGTTTTTCTACTTGCTCTTGACAACTGTTGAGTATGATACAATGGAGAATTAAGACTGGGCATTTCCTCTGTATGGCTTACCTCGTGTGTCAGCATAAGAGGTTCTGACACTGGAAGACATGTACATCTTGAGCCCTGTTACAGTGTCTAGTTCTGGAAGATGTAACAGATAAAGGACACTCTAAATAAGTTGTCCTTATTACAACTTCCACTTCTTGCTGTTACCAACAGATCTGCATCACTACACTTTAAATGCTTTTCCTTACTCTGAACACTACCAGAATGCTTTATTGTCTACCTGACAGGGGCACGTCTCCCTGTTAACTTAGCTTAGTCCTTTTGCCTCAGGGTTCTTGCACAGGTGTTTAGCCTGTAGTTCCCTCAGTCCACTGGGAGCTTCCTTGATACTCTCCATAATATAAAAGGAAGCCATTTGTGTTCAGATTTGGACCAAGATTCACAGTCTGTTGCAAATTAAGTGCCCTTAAATCTTGCCTTTGCTCAATACTGAAAACAAATTTATTACTCACAAAAGACTTTCCTATTTGGATTTATTTGGAATGGATTTTTTTTTTCTATATTTCAAATATAAAGCATTTCATAGATTTTCTGGAAACCTCTTTCGTAGTTTCTGCCATGCTGCACTGCCTACTTTTATAAATCTTTATGTTCTCAGTAGAAAATCAATGCCTACTTATTAATACAGTATTGATATGTTTCATGAGTAATAAGGGATGCATAAACATATACTCACAAAGCAGGACTGCATGGAGAAGTTTACAGTCGTTCTATGCAGTGGGATGCATTGCAGTCTGCAGCCAATTTCTGTCAAGTTCATAAATTCAAATACTGAAATATGACAGAATCCCATTTTCTGTTACTCAGACACAATCAGCATTCTCTGAACTAAAGACATGTCTGAAAAATGAAACCAACAGTGAGTACCTGTGACTCTCAAAGCACCAAGCCCTACCAATACCAATTTTTAAACAAAACAAGAATGGAGCAGGAAAGTACTGAAGTAACAACCAGACAGAGTCGCAGTATTAAAAGGAAAAAGATGTAAGCCTTTTCTCAACTCTTGTTGCCTCTGCAGGCATTCTGAACAGCTATCAGCTGCTTGCTGTGCTGGGCTTGGTGCAGTCACTTCCCAGATAATGCTGTAGCTGCATCCTGTTTCTGTGGGCTGTGTCCAAAGTCCCCAGTGAAGCTGGCTGCTGGCTGCTTCGCCCAGAGGAGCCATGCAGAGGGGGACCGTGGCATCCTGAGCTGCTAGACTCGGCCCTAGCACAATGCCAGCAGTGCTTTCTTAAATGCCAAAGGCTGGCTGGAGATTTCAGGGGGTAAAGGAGCCCTTCCAAACATTCTTCAAAGACTCTCCTGTCTCAGGAGCCAAGGAAAAATGTGTCTTCTGAAAGATCACTCAGTGATCTTCTTTGGATAGAAATAAGATGGCATTCATGGTATTAACAAATAATGTTAT